GGGGGGGGGGGGGGGACACAGACAGAACAAATAATCACATTATGATGGTGAAAAAGGTCCCCCCTGGCCCTTTGTCCAATTCATTCCAGACCCTGTTAATGCATGATTATTGATTTGTTGCTTTACTTTTTATTTATCGACTAATTGTAATCATACATGTACTTTGTTTAAAATAAAGATAAATGTAAAAATATTTTTGAAACATTAACAAAATAAAGAACATGGCATAAACCAAAAATAAGTTTTTTGAATTCATAGAAACAATAATCATGTTAATTTGATATAAATACTATAATTTTAAAAAAGTAGGCAGGAAGATATCTCTTTAATATCCGAACAGCACAGAACTTTTGCTATGTTCTGCAAAACCTAAATAAAAAAGGTTTTATTAAGAGAAAAAAAACTGTTTTTTTGCTCTTGACAATACCCAGTCATGGAAAAGATATTGTAATGACCAGCTTCCCCCCCTTCTAGTTTTGTGTCTCCTTACCCTCCTGGCACTCTGTCCGGCCGTCCACTGCTCACACAGCTGGCCCCGTAGCCCGTGCAGTCTCCACACACGGTGCACACCATACACTGGTCCAGCTTCCACTTGTGCATGCCTGGCTGGCACATCATGCTCTTCTCTTCCTTCTCTTCTACCTCGTCCTCCAGGTCTTCATCCATAGCCGTTGCCATGCTCTCTACACCAAATGCTACATCAAAAACACACAAGACAAAGTAAAGCATTCCGATTGAGTACGAGGAATGCACCCAATTTAGAGTATGTTGTTATGTGTATTTGTTTGTCCATCCGCTCACCTTTCCCAGCCTGGCTCATGGACCCAGTGTCTCTGCCACACTGGCCCTTGTTATTCACCCCAAATGTCCACACTTCACCGCTCTTGGTCAGAACACACGTATGGGCCTTACCCATGGCAACCTGAGTTACAGAGTGACCCTTCAGGTCTGTGACTTGGCCTGTGGACAAGAAAATACAGATTATAGAGGATTTGAATAAAATGGTTTCCAGTGGAGACATATTTATAGATGTGTATAGATGCTTATTTCTTTTTGTAAGTCCTTAATCTTTCTTTCACAGAGTAATAAGGTCAATGACAAGACACTCTTGAAATATCTCAGAAACATTTCTTCAAGTTAAGAATTGGAAATAGCCTTGTTCAAGTCAACTCACAGGTGCTGTCACTGTAAATAGCATCTTTGCCAAACATGTAGAGCTCTCCATCCTTGGTGACGATGCTGCTGCTGCCATTGTTGCACGCCGTGTTGACCGCTGTCTTGGTTTCTAATTTGATCATCTTCTTGGGCTTGTACGGCTTGGGCTGTCTGCGACTTTTAGCTGCAAAGGAAAACAGACATCATCTTTAGGACTTCAAGGAAGATTGTTTTGATACTATATTTAATAAATGGTTAAAAATAAGGATTTGTCCAATGTTTGCCGATAGTTTTCAAATTCTCTTACTGGACTCTCCATCTTCTCCCTTGCTTGCAGAGCCTGTAAAGAACACACTTCCGTCTTCGGCCACTAGCAGCGCATGGGAGCCATCATGGCCGACTGAGAACTGAACGATCTTAGGAGACTTTGTAACGGGCAATTCCACCCATTTCCCCGCTGATGGACCACCCTGCTTTATACCCAGGCTCTGGTACTTTCCTGTGTAGTAAATCTGTGAGGGGAAGAAGAGGGAAGGTGAAACACACAGGAAGATCAGAAAGAAGATCAGGAATAAGGAACCGTTTTCATCAAGCGATTCTTTTTGAGGAGTATATTCATTTTGTTGGACCAAGCCATGTTTAGCCGGGGTTAGTTTTTGAAACAAAGTTTCAGCTAGAGCCCTAATGACAGCAAACTTCCCTGCTGCGCCACACAGGGTTCTATGTACAAAAGATCAGGACCCTCTTTTTAAATGCACTGAACAAGCCCATGTGTATAGTAGTTAAACTACAGGGTTAAATTGTGATGACACATTTACTAAGGATGTTGGGGGATTTTTTTTTTTTTATAACTCAAATCTGACATTTACACAAATAACATAAACACTTCAAAATGTAATGCATTAAAAAATTAGCTTGTAAACAGGGGCGGCGGGTACTGTAGGCTAGGGAAGTCCACAAATATTTGTGTCACTGCATCCTGGTAAAATTAAAATATAATGTATAATGTTTGTGTCTTTGACATTAGCGCTGCTATGCAGCCACCAGTAAACTGTACTACGAAGCCAGTTCAACAGACCCTGGATATGTTTGAGTTAGCCTACCCTGTAGCGAGTAAAACTCTAACACAGAAAAGACCTGTCTATGCTTCCCCAGAACGCCTCGCTGGAGATTTCTCTTTTTCCATTTTTTTCTTCCTGAGTATAGTGACGTGACCATACCCAGGTCCAAATGGACCAATCCGTGGAGCTCCTCACACACACTCACTCAGCCTTATCATTTCTCAGCCGCGCTACTCCGCGGAGTTTCGCCGGATTTTATCATTTCTCTTTGCTCCGTGTGAACTCCACTCACAGTTCGCCACACACTCACGTGTGTGTGCTCAGGCTGAGTCTCACTGTCTCGCAGACCCCACGCAGCAACCAGGAAACAACACCAGTAATCCAGCTCACACTGTCCGCTCTTCGAGCGGAGCAGCGAGCACCGCAACGTCCCGCCAACACGGCACCCAGAGCCCACGCAGCATTGTCATCCGTTTGTCATTACTGGTGTCATTTTCTGGTTGCTAACAAACACTATTGTAACACAAACACACATCAGAGCACAGTGGACTCATAGGGGAGGGGAGGGGGCAGGAGCTCCAACAAGGCGTGTAGGACAGAGAGTGAATACACATACTATACAGAGATGCTGTATGAGAAACCAGTGTGAGTTTGGAACAATGTAAATCTATTCTAGTAGACCTCAACAATGGAATTATGATCAGTAGAAATGGCCATGACATGGGACCTCTAATGTGTTGCTTAAAATAATACTTCTGCATACAGTATGTGACACTGTAAGTGTTGCACGGCCAGATACGGCTCAAGAAGCTGACTCAGATAAGGAAATATATGATATATTATGATATTATATGATCGATGACGTGATTGATGATGTGATATGAATGATAAGTGCGACACGTCGGCGTCTTCCCTGCATACGGCAGTTTAAACTGTATTTCCTTTCTCCTGTAATATGACTTGATAGATTTAAACTCAGCACACTGAGCTCAGTGGTCAGCAGGTGGTGCTTTCACTGAGTTGATCTCTTATCTATAGGCCCCAGAGGCGGAAAGTGTCAGGTAAAAAAAAGTGATTTAGCCTTCCCAAACCCGAGCCTCACGCCGTCTATGCTTGTAAACCATAGGCACGTGGCCTTTGGCTTTTTCCTTTAGATCACATGTCATACAAAATATCCAGCTGAGTGATGAGTACACTTTAAGCAAAGACAAAAGTTCAGCTGATTCTATTTGTACCCATACAGCCAATGTGGGTTGGGGTTATATGAAGATAAAGAGTGTTGAGAGATTAGGCTTTTCCACTGACACAAACTGCTCTGCTTTCTACACAAGAGGCACCCTGCACCACACCTTCATCGAGACACACATCCACACCCTCCACACACCCTAACCAACAACATTGTTAGTGTTTTTCTCTTACTAAGACTGTAAAAATGTGACATATCTTCTTCATCAGAGCACTGCCTACATACAGTACAGCCATTGGTCCCAGTGTGCTCGATGAGAAACCCTATAATCTGACACCTAGAAGTATAGAGGGTGTATTTCTCCATAGAAAAATACATTCATAAATAAACTATTACTATAATGTGTTAAAACGTGTTGTCCAAAGCTTCACTCCACTCCTGAAAGTGGACATTATGCAATAGGTAGGTTCTACTCTAGCAGGGTGAAATGCACTATTAGTAATAGTCATTGTTTACGGTGTAATAGTAATTTTATACGGTGGGCCAGTGTGACAAAGAATGAAGAAAACGCATTCAAAAACACAATTAATTTAGAACTTGTTCCCAGATTCATCTGTCCTATCACAAGAAAAACAGAGATCAGACAGCGGTTGAATCTGTTACAACTTTCTTTTTCATTTCAGAGAAGTTTTTTAACTCTTACCTTTCCCGAGGCAGTCTTCATCAAAGCAAACTCCCTGCCTGCTCCAAGCAGTGCTGCCTCCTCATCAAAGCCTGTGCCTGAGAGAACAACATACTATTTAGAGCCAATTCCACCGTGAGACAAGTTGGACAGTATGCTTTTTCATTTAATATTTCATTAAGTATATTATTATTATATTGTATGACTTACTGATGATGTGCAGGTCCTTCTCGAGGTCAAATAGAGAGATGCCGCAGGCATGAAGGCATTTCCTTGCCAGCTTTAGCTGCAGTTCCTGCTGCAGGGTTGGGTCTGAGCTCATACTATAGATCCGCACCACAAAACCGTCCTGCAGGAGCCAGGGCAGACGGGAGGCAAAGCTGTTTAGTTTCACAACCCAACATTGCTGCAGTGTGAAACTTAAAGTTCATATAACAGTTTGAGGAAGTATGGTTTCTGGTTTGATGAAAACATATCCCTGCTTCACCGGAGTGAACATGACAACTAGAAAAATGTTGAGCTCTTAAAAAAGGAAACATCTAAATGTTTTCAGAAATATGATTACTACTTCTTTACCACTTGTATTTATATCACTCTCATGTAAGCACACAAAAAAAACTTGAACAATTGCAAGGATTTCTTTAAATCTCAATAATTGGTTTTAGGACACACTGGACATAATACTATGGACATTTAAACATTAGATTTGCATGTGTTCCTGATTTTAATGGGGAACGAAGTAAAACATTACAAATGCATTTGATAAACACATGAGTGAAGACCTTTATTCGGTCATGGATATGTATATAATCTGGATCTGCCGTATGTTTGGGTCAATCTACTGAGGGTGTGGCTTGGGGTTATAAACTATGTGCATACATTTCTTAATAACATGGGAAACTTAATCTCGGTGTTAATAGCATATCCATATATAATATAGAAAATAAACCAGAAAGGGTATGACAGCTATTAACAACTTGCTGACTCAGTTCAACAGCTGATGTACCAGAGACGTGTTGGGTTAGTCAGACTGCAGGGGATGTGGCGGAAAAGGACCATTTGCAGGGGGGGAACAAAGTGAAAAAGATGAACACAACAAGGAAATAATTGGAAGAGAACGGGGATACAAAAAGAGGATGAGGGATAGTGTGGGGATGTTCTGGTCTCCACTCTGTTGTAATGACACACTCATCATGTGCTTTGACTCCTGCAGAGCCATGTGCCACTCCAATCATTTAATTAGAGCCTCTATCCTGTTGCCAGTATCACCCCCCAGGCCTTGACTTCTCCTCCCTACCATCTTTCCTGACTCTCCCCTTGACCTCCTTTAGTTTACCCACCCATGTTTTCCTTCCCAGCATCTGAAACTCCGTCATAGTGCGTTTCACATGGTTTCCCTCAGCCGTTAAGTGGTCTGCGCTGCGGATGCATTTCAGGCTGCTCACTAAAAATGCATGCAGCTTCTGAGGACTCCCCCATCCTCCCCCCACAGAGTATCCCGCCCCCATGATTAGCCTAGAAACTGCTATCTGGCTAGCTGCAACGGCAGATATATGGATTTCACATCTTCCCCTCCCCCACTCACATTACATAGTGCTTATGCAGATAACTGCTTGAGAGATTAAGCTCTCTGGAGAATACCCACATCTGGTGCCACTGCCCTCACTGCCACACCCACATTTACACAACACACACACACACACGCACATTTACACAACACACACAGCTACACTTCCCTCTGTGACACAGCTGGTTATCAGCTGAGAGTCATTAAAAATTAGTCTGGGGCCTCTACAGCAGTGAAAGTGACAGTTGGTTCACAGGGCACTTAAAGAGGAACAAAATATAGTTTTATTTTTTTTAAGGGAAACGTGTATTGAAAAAATGAAAGGCCACATATCTTTTAGTAGGGACGACTGCCAACAAAAAACTGAAAAAGACCTCCCTCTCTTTGAGATTGAGATGACGATTAGCCCATAATAAACACTATGATGTGGTTCAGGATGTCAATGTCCACTGAAGCCGTAACTCACATGCCGTACTGCCTGCAGGCAATTTACCTTAATTAACAGACTATAAATTTGAAGCGCCAAAAGGTCATATTACTGAAACGTCCTTGGTGATTCTGGTCTTGAGACCTCTGTTGCATGATGATTGTCCAGTGTGTCATAAAATATTCTACTTTTAAATATAGATGATGTGTGATATAAATATGTAATAAGCATCTCTAGCAGGAATTTTAAACTTACATCTTTGCAGGCTGCGATCTGGTTGATGTACTCTCCGTCTGTGAAGATGATGTTCTGTCCGTCTGAATGTTGACCTGCAAATAAAAGGGAAGTTGATAATGAATAAACCAAATATTGTTAGGGGAAATCTTCACTATTTTAATCCAAATAAGGTTTTTTTTATAGAAGCAAAAAAACGTGTTTCTTGGCACCTGGCATGGTGATAGTCCCCTCCTGCTCCAGAGTCTCAGGATTGATCTTGATGGCCGACATGGTGTGGTTACATGTTTCCCGATATAACAAGTACCCCTGAAGACACAAAACAAACACTGATGCTAGTCGACAATCACTAAGGATAATCGCTAACTGATATCCCAACCACACAAGGACGATAACGCAAACGGACCGCAATCGTTATCAAAACAGTCTTCCGTCCACACGCAACAGGCATCAGAAACGTGTCCGTTCACACGAGACCGCTCGAAAGCGCTTGAGACGTTGTAGTACATATACCAGGCCGGTAAGTGGCGCTGTACTACTACTACAAAAGCAGCGAAGAAGACATCCCGCACATGGTTGCCATGGTTGCCCTTCTGTTTATTCTCCGCTGTGGACGCTCTGGTTCTATTTCTCCCTCCCCAAGGCAAGCGTTTGCTCCTGCTGTATATCTCTCCGGTAGTCCACCAGCAGATGAAAAACGCCGGTCAACATGTCCGTTAAAGTTTAAATCTTCCGGACAAAATTGGAAAAGTGCCGGTAAAAAGGTCTTCTTTGTTATTTATTGAGCTTTAAAACAAATGATTAACGACTCTATATAATAATAAGAATAAAAAACGAAGCCTCTCTTTTCCTCCCCCTCTTCTGAGAGCCCAGCAGCTGATCTCTGAGCAGGGGGCTATTGCATCATCGTTATCAGGACATGATCATATAGGCGTAAACACGGAGCCGTTTGCCCCCACCAGAGCGTTTCGCTTGCAGATCTACCCACCTAGGGACCCGTTATCGTTATCTGCGTTTCCGTGTCGGCCTCGTGTGGCCGAACCGTCTATCTGATAGAGAACTGTAGCAGATACGACCGTTATCGTCCTCATGTGGACGGGGCTTGAAGCCCTGCAGGATGTTGTTGCTAATGGAATGATACTGAGTTTTAAAAGCTAGTAGTCTGAAACATACTCCTTTTCATATTCATCAATAACACCACATCAGCAGTTGCAATTTAAGTTTGAATGACAAAGTACACAGCTGTCATAGTGCAAACACCAAACTAAGCACTGACTGCAAATAACCAACATCATTTAAGTCACATGGAGGTCGACTCTAAGGTTAAACATGACCTGAATTGTGTACGCACTTAAAGCACTTTCAAAGACACTTTCAAAGACACTTCACTGAATTAAATGTGAAGAGCATCTTAATGAAACCTACCTGAGCGAAGCCAAGCCATGATCTCTTCTCCTTTCGATTCCTGGTACGAGACGTGGAGTTGTATACGTGGCCCTGTGGGGCAATAAAAACACATGAGCATACAACAACAAGTACTGACAAACCTTAATGTAATGCAGATGAAAAATCTGCAGAAATACACATCCACTTTTTTGTTTTAACAATATATCACTTTATTATTATGATGTCATATTGTATTAATACATTTTTTATGAGAATTCCGGCTGCTGTCTAGTAACATAATCTTTTACTGCTAACGCCTAAAAACCTACTTTCATTTATATAAATGTACTGAAATAATTGGGAAATATTCAGTTACTAAACAGTTAAAAAATAACCACGAAGGACATCTGTGAAATGTCTATAAAGTTGAATCCAACCATCTCATAACCTTTATGTAGATAACATATTTTTCAGAATTGAATATGACACTATATAAACATGACACAAATAAACAGACAAGTTAACGTAGTTGCCGTCCTTTGAAAACCAAGTCAAGAATCTACAGATGTAGGGATGTGGTTATCACCATAGACTGTATATAAAGGGTTAAAGTCAACAGTCAGCGCGTTCAGCTTTGATTGATACGTACCCTGACAGTGCCACTGTATCCAGAGCCCACTTTGTAGAGCCCATCCTTGCACAGCAAATACAGGAAGGAGCCATCAGTCTGTAGGAGACAGCGCTCATCCTCATCAATGGCCACCTCTTTCAGGCTCCACTTGTTCATCAGAGCTGCGCGCTTGATGCCATTCCCAAACCAATCCTGGATTTGAATCTTTCCCACCAGGACAGCCTGCACACTCCTCTGCAGGGCGTTCAGTATAGTGGGAACCTAGTGTGGGGGACAAGGAGGAGGGTGAGGGAAATGAGCAGAACTGCAAACCTCTGATGTGACATAATGGGGTGTATTTTGTGAAGTCGCCCATGCACAAGTGGGAACTGGCTTTGCTGCTGATAGTCAGAATCTCATATTTGTGACTGAGTCTGTGGTTAATGGACCTGCATATTTGGGCTCCTTTCATTCTGCCGAAACGCATTTTCACACACACATTTTAAAAACATCCTTTGTTACACTCACCGCTGATCTTACTTTTCACACAAATGCAAACAAACATAAACATACAGGCGTGTACAGCACATGAACCCACACAGCCTGGCTGCTATTGTAATGACTCACAGTCCAGCCAATGCCTAAAAGATGAGTAATCAGGAAATAGAAACACAAGGGGGATAAACGTGTGAGGCTAAAAAGACTTTGTCCAAGTGTAGTCATTTTATCTGAATGCAGGTAAAGGTGAAACTATTCTAAGGTCTCAAAACCTTTTTTCACAACATTAAATTAGGGGCTGTCTGTTAAAGGTGATCGAAGGTTTTTAGCATGAACTGTTTTGATATAAAGCAGAAGAAATAAAACCAATAGAAGCAGAGGAAGAGAGGATCATTGGAAAACTAGAGATTGAAAGTGAAGAACGGATAATTGGAGTACGAATGCAGCCAGGGAAAAGTCAGAGTGGCTTGACATTTTCCAAAACTCAATTTGTGCTGTCCAGACACTGCCTGCAGTCTCTTCATATAAAGGAAATGCATGTTGAAGCCAAAGGTCTCTTTATACCTCTGTAATCCACTTTGGCGATCTCAGGCATTTCTACTAATCAGAAGAAAAAGCTTCAATCTGTTATAGAGATGTACATGTTTATTGGTAGATGTTGGTTTAAACATAATTATTCTAGTTTGGGTATTTTCGATATATGCCATTCCAGCTTGTGCTTCATAAAAAAAAAAAATCTGGAATATCTCCCAAGATAAGGATGTTTGATCAAAGCAAGATAGTAATCTCAACAGGTGATCAGTAGGCAATAAAAACAAGACTTAAATAACTTAAAGCCACACCTATGAATTCCAGAGATAAAAGACAATTGTGTAGTCAAGTTGGCCGATGCACTGTAATGTATTTAAATCGGTTAATTACCTGTATCGTCTGGCACGCATGGCTGCCGTTGTTGGTGAGGATGGCGGAGACGGCCTGCAGTATTTTGCCAGTGTCTCCCCAGGCAACCACCAGACTGAAGAGGCAGGCGCAGGACAGAGCCGTGATGGCCTGTCCTGTGGGGTCATTGGGCCCCGTGCTCCGGACCGTGGTCTCTAACAACAGCTGGAATAGAGAGTCTGAGGAAGAAGAGGTAGACAAGTGAGACATTGTGTGTAAATTAGACTTAATAAAAACAAACTTCTATTTCTAACTACCGTCTCAAAATGATCATTGGGTTGCAACAACATATCTTCAACAGGGACAACATAACAAATGTCAAAAACAAGATTGTAGGCACTTCAAGAACTCTTTTCAGCCTTACCTAGCACATCAGGAGGCTCGGTCTGAAAGCCCTCAGGCTGTTGTCCCTGCAGCATGTCCAACAAGGCCTGCAGGCTACGCAGGCACAAGGAGGGGTGAGAGAACCGAGTCTCTTTGATCAGCTCAAAAACCCCGCAGAGGCCGATGCCAATGATCTGCACACACAGAAGAAAAAAGAGCTAATGAACTAACTGCTGTCATTCCACAATCCAGGTCTAGCTAACAGCAAATGAAACATAATGCCACTTGGTGTTAAATATATTTGTCCTTGTTATTATTATTGTCATTTCTTTAAGTAAGTATTCGGATTAAAACAGAATTGATAACAGAATCTTGGAGTGGTTGTTTTCTTGTAACAGCAGGGCCTCATCTTCCTACAGTAAAACCACCCACATTTAGCTACGGGGGCTCACAGTGTTTACAGTTACTACCGCTGACTTCAACATCCACTATTAACATTTTGTATAATGAGAGACCCACAGTAGAAGCTAGGAAAGGAGTTTGGCCTAAATAAAGAATGACTTTCTGTCTCTCAGTGCGGCTTGTTTGTGGATCAAATGTATGCTTCAATGCATGGGCGTAGGAAGCATCCTCAATGTGGGTGGGACAATTTGAAAGGGGGTGTGGGCAGGTGGTGGACCTCACCTCCTCTAGGGGCAAGATTTATTTTTTAATGTTGAAGTTAAAAAGCATCAATCTGATGCACTTTGAGAGCAACTAAATCTATGGATACATCTCTCAACACCCATGTGAAACAGAACTGTAAACAGATGTACTTTTTCTTTATGCATATTTTAAAAATCACTCCCCTTTTAAAGTGTATTTTTGTGTTACTGTACTATAGTATGAGTTGGAATTATTTCATACCTGTTATTCTCTTGTTTTTTATAACTATAATGACCATATAAAAGGTGTGCCTTGGAATGATTACCAAACCGTTTGAGACCCACTACTTAGACTAAAGTGAACTACTATCTAAACACTCAGAGCCCTTTACCTCGCTAGTGGAGCACGCTCGTGAACTGTTAGCGCCGGAGCCTCGCAGCGTGGAAACTGTGGCGCGCATCATTTTACAACAAAAAAACGCAGCATGTGTACGGCTCTGAGAATCTGCCTTGGTACAAAGTAGCAGTGAAAACATGGTATGGAATTTCATTGATTTAGGCATTCTCACAATGAGCCAGTGGAATGGATTTGATAATGAAGCACTGACACTGCGCTCTACAACGAGTGGCGAGTGGATAGACCAGACTTTCCACATGCTAAAAGTGGGGGGGGTCTAAACTAATCATTTTAAAAAGGTGGGGGGGACTTGTCCCGCCCTCATATAATGTCTGCGACGCCCATGCTTCAATGTTTCCTTCTATCTTTGTGAAGCGTAGAAGTGATATTTTTTTTTCAGGCACTCAAATATTTTTTGACATAATGGCTTGAAACTGCAACTAAATCATCCACACATCTCATGTCAACAGCAGCCTATATGAAAGACAATACATCGGATACAGCCTTCCTAGTTAACTGCTTACTGCTAACCAGTATGTAAAGCAAGCACAGAAAAGCACTTCCAATCAATATGCAATCCTCTCAACAGACATGCACACATGCATTTGTTTAATTACTGTGACACTGTAATAAGGTTTGTCCTGTTGGAGTGAGCATTTTCAAAAGGAATGCGAGATAAATATGTAATTGTGATGTAATTAGGGTAATTTTGAGTCATCTCTATTACCTTATCCTTTACTACTTTTTATAATGGCTCAATTATGGAGCCACTTGCTGCCTGACAAGCTTAAACAGGACTATTCACATTTGTTTTTGTGGTGCTGTAAAAACCAGTAGTCTCTCACAAAGGGAGCGAACACCCTGTATTGTTTTCGTTAATGCTGTCATCGTGGCATAGCACCTAAAGTAATCCTTGAGAAATTGCCTTTCAGATTTTGATGTTGTAATAATGTATTTTTTTATTTTTTATTATTATTATATGCTATCAAAGAGAACTTACAGGGAAATAAAAGGTCTGTACTGAATGGTTTGATTCTCCAATAAGTATGAGCAATAGCTCCAGAGCGTTGTAAAGTCAAACATGATAATAAAAGTTAGAGGTAATATTTCAAAATTCAAAATCAGCATTTTCTAATGCAATGTTCTGCATCAATCCTTATTTGCTACATTGCAAAATGTTTACTGCAGTGACACACACACACACACACACACACACACACACACACACACACACACACACACACACACACCTGTATTCAGGGGGCAGGAAGCAGTAATGTAACAGCACCATAAATGACAGTTATATAACCAGGGTGACGACGTTCAGAAATACGACAACAGACATTCAAAGCTTCATTCAAAAAACCTCAATAGAAGCTTCAAAGATAAAAAAAAAAAAAACATTTAGTACAGATCTTAAAATCAGAACACCTTGCTTAGACTATGATTACAAATTGAATATTTAATATTGTCCCCACTCAGGAGCAACATTAACACCTTGAAGGACAACTGACATCTCTGATACAGTATAAGACAGATAAACAGCACAGGCAACAGAACAGGAGTAGAAGTTGGGGATATAGAGCTGTTATCCTCACAGGAAGGGGGTTTCCAACCTCTGGTAAATTGACTCCAATTGTCATAATAATAAAAAGAATGAGCCCTACACACAAGCCCAAGGAGATAAAGGATTATTGCATCCATAAGATAAAGGGCACAGGCTGGCTCTCGCCTTGATACCGAGCTCTGCTCCCACCACATCAGCACCGATGCTACCCCCTGCTCGTACCTTTGGCAGCTTCACAGCAGGCTCGCGGTACTCCTCCTCCTCCTCGCTGTCCGAGTCTCCGCTCTGCACCGAGCTCCTGGAGGCCAGCACGAGGGAGGCCTCTCTCTGCTGCCAGTCCAGCACAGAGTGCCGCACGTTGCAGTAGACGTTGAATGCAGAAGGGTTGCTGTGCAGCTTGATGTCGGGCACGCAGAGGGCTCCATCTAGACTCTCAGCCTGTAGAAAGACAGAGGGTGGAGGTGGTCAGCAAGTCCGATATCATTTGGATCTACAATGAGCCATTTAGAACATCCTAAAAGTTGTTTACAGTATAAGCAGCGATGTCAATCCTCTAGGAGTATGATGAATTGTCCTTTTGGACCTCTTTAGATTGTGATTAAATATATGCAGTTAGGTTCCTTTGGGCCACTTAAGATGTACCTTCCACCTTTACATAATTTGATATAAATATAAATTGTTAAATACACAATTCAACCCCAGTAACACACAGCTGGGTTTCGAATGTTACCCAAGGACTGCATGTATTCTCCCTTTGCAGACAAAAGTAGTGACTGTGAATTGAGAGCATCAAGCGTGTTTGAATGAGATCTCTGCGGAGCTGATCTTTTTGGTTCAAAGCCTGAGCTTCAGCTTTTAAAACAGTAGTTGTAAACATTATGTCACATGGAAGTTTAATTTCATTTTGGGTTGTGTCTCTCGTCTGTTAATGTAGTTGCTTAAGAAGCATTTTAAGTGTACATCGACTTATGACAAACCTAACCAAATAAGTGCCTCCTGACCACAACAAGAGGGTCATTTTCATTTATCATCTGGCTTTTGAGGAAAACGTTCCTAAACCTTAGAGACTCAGATGCTAGCTGTTACATTCGACTAAGCAAAGTTATATAACTAAAATAGGTTGGGAGAGTAAAGCCTCTGTTAAGCACAGTTAGTCTTTATTCAGTTGTGTCCTCATTTCTAGTCAGTGGCACATTTGCTGCATAATAGGATTCCTCATTTTGCTTTGACTCCTGGGGAAGCTTATTTTTGTAAACACACACTTGGCCTGGCAAGTGTGTATTCATTTCAAGACCAGCTGAACACAGCTTTCGAATTTACACAATGGCTTACCCAACATTTCACATAACCAATGCAGAAACAAATAGTTAAATTCAAATTTTACGGGAAATAAATAGTTTCTGAAAAAGGCCAGAAAGATATTTATTAGAGAAAATCATTCAAATAAAAACGAGCTGGGGATTTTCTTCATTTTACAAGAATGCAGTTAAATGATAACCAATAAATCAGCATGGCAAATTTGCGTTAATCTTTGGCTATCTAACAAGATTTCTTTTTATGGGCTTGCTTCTCATCTGAATTGTAGGTCTAAAGATAAATATTTGTAAACACTGAAATGAGTGAGATACATTTAGTCATATTTGGTTGTTGTTGTTGTTGTTGTTGTTGTAGTTGTATTGTAATCCTTTACACTAGGATATGTTTCTAATTTCAAGTCTACCCTCACTGATGTAAATGAGATAGACAAGCCAAAAGGAAAACTTAGAATAAAATCATTACAGCAAAGCTTACATTTAAACGGTCAGGATGATCAGAGAAACTGCGCTCCGTAGAGAAACTTGATAAAGTAACTAATTGATAAGCTTTCTCTATCCTACCCAAGCAATGCATTTTTAACTACAGCCCCGAGGCAACCTCTAGAGAAACATATTGATCGACTGTGCCTCTCTTGCAGTGGTGCGCTTTTGGCAATCACAAAGAGTGATGTCATCTATTTGGGGAGAAAGGTCATTCATTCTCAGCTGAAACTAGTGGGGAGGATATTAGCAACCGTCTCATCCAGCAGTACTGTCCACTTCTCTCCTGCGTGGCTGCCAGAAAATAATTGTGACTGGACCGAATTCACAAAAGGTGAACTAACTCAAACACATGAAGCAAGAAGGATCAAACAGGCTTCTTGGGATACGAGGGCAAATAAAAGGAGTGGAAAAGAGACAAAAATAACCCCTTGTGTTTTTTGCCCAAACGAGCAAAAAGGGTACCATTTAGATGATAAAAAAACAAACAGACCTTGGTTCCAAATGTCTGAAAACAGTAAAAGAAAAATCACAAAGATGTACCTGTTCTAATCTAATCAATCTTCAGAATTTGGCTACAGCTACTTATCTCCCTCATCTAGACTTCATTTGTTTGCTCTCTGTGCTTCTCAATGTTGTTCTGTACTTAAATTTAACAAAAGAAATCCCAAAAGTCCCCTTTTTACACTACATGTATGTCCATTTAAAGTGGACCTATCATGCTATATTTGAATAACATATTGTAGGGGCATACCTATATAAAACATGTCTGCCAAGTTTTTTTTTCAAAATACCAAACAGATCATGTATTTTAGTCATGCCACATTTCACTCTATTTGCTCTTTTTTAGCCCTGTTTTTGCAAAGGCTGATTCTGTGAGAAGTCTTCTTCGCTGCTTTTGTGGCAGACTACAGCGCCACCTACAGGCCGGGCATATGTACTACAGCGTCTCCAGCGCTTTCGACCGGCAATGGCCGTGGCTGTCTCCTCCTGATTGGTGGAGAGTTGCCCATATAGGCGGAGCTCCTCGTTTCTGACGTCAGAGATATTTCAAATCTGGATCAGTCTGTATCAGATCCGTTGCAGCCCCGTTTTTAGAGATTTGGGTATGGACGAACAGAGAGAGGGTTGTGTTTTCTGACACTTGGTGAGTTC